TCCCGTTCCCCTGGGGGTACGCGTACCACACTTTGGGAAACACTATATATATATATATAATCCCTAAAAAACTACTCCGAAAACTTGATTTTGTAGATTTTTAGGTTTAAGTTAAATAAATAATACGAATTTTTAATATCTAAACACAAATATAAACTCAGAAACACAAAATATATTGAGATTTTTTCTAAACACTGGATCGATATGAATTTTTAGACTTACTTAATGTTGAAGAAAGAAAACGTGTATGTTGGTGATCTTTTCACTGGTTCATATGGTCAGATATATTAAATTTGCTTGCGCTATTGAAGGTAAGAGTGTGTTTATTTCAATAAACGGTAAAGGTAGAAAATTTTGGAAAATAATCTCGTCATTGAAAAAATATAAATACAAAGATAACAAATCATCCGTATTTTTCGAAACAAGGAAAACCTTGAAATTTATTGGTTTATTAAATTACCTTTTATGATCTTTACTGGTTATTTGCGGACATAATTTTATTATTTTCTCAACCACCTACAATCTTTTTCAATTTTAATTTAATTCGAAAAATCTTTGCGAAATCTTGATATTTATTCATCACATCAAATTTATAATAAACGACTTCCTTCAATCAAATGAATAATCAATACACCGTGCATGTGAATGTCAAAATTAAATCGTCAGGTAATCGAAGCAAATCGTCATGACTCGATTTATTTCGAATATTTTTAACAAGTGTAATAAATGAGTTATGCAAATTGAGTAGAACAAAGCTCAATTAAAATAAACAAATGCTGGTGTAGATTAATGGTTCGATTAATTCCACCGGTTTAGCAGAAAACGTTTGAGAGAAAACGTCATTCAGATCAATTTTTCAATGCCATCATGCAAATCAATTTATGTGAAGGCAAATATACCGATTAAAACTTCATCAGATTGGCTTAGAATCTTCGAAAGATTTACTTGGGAATTATGCAAAAGGAGATTGCTGTTAGAGATAGTAAAATATGATTAGTAGCATGTGTTCTATTTTGATTTAAGCACGTTTTTTCTTGCATTTAAATCCTGCAAAGGACTGATCGTACAGACGCGGTTTCCAGTAGAACACCGAAGTCAAGCATCACCGGCTGCGTCAGTAAGCGGGAGGGTGACCACTTTGATCTGATCAGCCTGTGTAGGGACCGAAGGTGCGCGGTATCGTTCATCGTTAAACTGTTCTACCGTAAAATGCTCGACTTCACGTCGAGGTCGTCGGGCTACCAAAGCCAGGGAGCCATCGCCCCTGAATAAGATTAAATTTGCTTCGGATCACCCTCAAGGATTTTTCAGAGACCGTCGCCAATAGCCCATTGTGCAGCTCTAGTGAGACGTAAATACAGTACCTACCTATCTACCTCCTTACACTAAAAAAAACGTATAGTCAAAGCTACCGCAATATGGAAATATTTATCATGTTTCTGTCTGTATGGGAAAACCAAAAAGCACAGTAATTTCTACCGAAACGCATAGGTAATGACTTTCTGTTAAAATTAACAATAAACATGGTTTTTATTACCATATTATTTGGTTGCAAATGGGGTAAAATTTAATAATTTTAACCAAATGTCTGTAATTTCAACAGAACTAGTAAAGTTTGAGATGACGCATAAATGCCTAGTTTAATAACCTCTATTTAGTTAACGTCTATTTACCAATTGTTACTCTTGTTTCTCTTTAGTTAATTGTTTTTTCTGTGAATTCTATAAGCTAACATCTTCTAACTTTTAAAACTATAATAAAATTGCATTTGTGAGCATACAAATGCCCAAACAGGACTAAACAAATTTAGTAGCTCAACTTCAACGCATCAAGCCTGTTTTAACATCCTTAAATGGAAGCGTAGCACTAGTGGGTTTGAATTATCACCATAATCTTGAAAGTATTCCATTATATATATTTATTGAAATTTTGTTAAGCATACATATGCAGACTTATGTGCTCATTATACAGGTGCGTGACAACTTTTATTGCCCTGCAAAGGAACCGAGAGTGTGTAGTATCGATCCTCGTGAAGCTATTCTACCGTAAAATACTCGAAAAGATTAACTCTGCATTAAGTTTGATCCTGGATGCATCTATTTATTTATATTTATTTTTGTAATGCACACATACATGACAAAGTTATGCGCTTTCTTAAGTCAAAATGCAGATACCACAAAATAGAGAAAGACCTAACAAACATATATCCTGGAACACAATGACATTCGAACCCGCTACTTCCACGTTAGAATAGATACATCTTTATAATGTCTTTCTCTAATTTGAAAAAATCTGTTCTTCAACTATAAACTGAAACATGAAACATGGAATGTGGAGTAATTATTTCATCTGATAATGGGTAATGCGATTAATCATTAGAAATTGGAAATGTTAAACTTTCAAATGTTAAGTAGCTCTGTCAGAGTTTCGTATTTTAATCAGAGTTTCGTATTGAACCCAGATTTGAACTCAAGTTCAGAAGGTCATGAGATTTACTCATTAGCCCTCAAAAGATCTAAGAAACTAATAATCAAAAATTAATATATCATCCATAAATACAAGCAAAACCGTTAATAGAAGTTGAAGAATCATTAACGAGGAAAGAGAATTTGCACGTACCAAAATCTGTTTGATTGCAAAAAAAATCTCTCACTTTCCTTTTTACAACAATAGAAAATATGTTTAGTTTTTCTGCAGATACGCCAAAAAATATATTTCTGAAACAGTGACTGTATAATTATTTCCAATTTATTGCTGTATAATTATTTTTTAAATGCATGATTTTAAAAAGAATAGCAAATTTTTTTTGAAATATATTACTGAAAAAGAAATTCATACTAGCTGCAAAATGGCGACAGCATTTTTGCAGTTAAGATTGAACAACTGAAGATCTACAGTAGACAGTAGAATAATTTAAAAATTACTTAAATTTTGTAGAAAAACTGAAGTTTATTTTTACCTGGGGTTAACACGCTATGCACAACCACGTGATTAGACATAACCATTTTATATGTTGCGAGTACCCCAATTTCAAATAAATATTTTCAAATTGCAATTTTTTGTAATTCAATAACTTGAAAAAACAAAAGTTCTAGTCATTAATAAACGAATTATTTTAACTTTATAAAAAAAACACTTAAAATGAAAAACAAGTTTTCGAGTTTACCTCAGGACTTCCGTTTTATGCATAACATAAATGTTAATCAATTTTATGCATAACATAAATGTCAAGAAATAAAAACAGCTTACTCAAAAAATTATTCCAGAAAAAGTGGAATTTTTATAAATGAATTTTTTAAAGCTATTAACGTAAATATGTCGTCAAAAATAGATAAATTAGGAAAATGAAATTGTAAACAGATTCGAATAATTAATTCAGTATTCTTAGAATATAATGCTTTTTTTTTATGGATTTTCTTTTAGAAATTGAAAAACACTAAATTTCAGCGCAATTTCCGCAACAAATCCATTTAGACAATGTCACAGGCTATTTGAAAGCTTGTTTAAGCATACTTTTTGTATTTGACATATGTTTGGCAAAAATGAAAATTTTATATTTTATTCTTTTGCTTAGAATGCATTTTTTTTCACTAAAACATTTTCTCTTTATAAATTGGAAAAAAATTAGCTCTTCAGACGAAGTCTGTAACATTTAAAGGTTTCATACAAATAACGCCAGAGACTATATGACAGCATTTTTTAAAACATACCTTCTAAAAAAGCAAAAAAATAATAACACAGAGCAAAAATTTTGAATATTTTTTTCTTTATCTGTTCCTTAGCAGAAACATGTGATTCTACTTGAACAAAGGTTTGCTTTAGTCGAGTATCAAAATCTAAGTGGTTATATTAGACAAACATCAATTTAAATTCCTTGCATTAATATTTATGTTCTTAGAATATTTTAACGTCTAGGAATTATGGTATTTGAATGGGAATTATGGTATGGTATTATTTTAACTTATGGTATTTTGGTGAACATTCGGATATCCTGTTTATCAAATTATCTAGCAGAGCCTTTGAGCTTCAGGAACGTAAATAAAATTTTAGTCGCTAAAATCGCCAAGATTTCTGAAATAGCCGCCAATTAGGTGACTGCTCTTCGGCGAATAGGACTGATAAGTAAGTTATTATTATGTGCTGTTAAAATATGTAAAAATCACTAATCTTAAAGGTAAATTATTCGGAAATGGTACTTTACAAACAAAATAATAATTTATTTTAGTTATTTTTGACCAAATGTATACCATATAGCATACATTTTCATCTAAAGAACATTTTTTAATGTACGGTATGTTGTACACAAATGTGAATATAGTATGACAAATTTATCATTTTCTTTATGAACGGAAACTACAAAATACAGCTCAATTTATAGTCCCAGATAAGATAAATAGTTAGATGTTAGAAAAAAAGATGTAGAAAAAAAGAATTCCAGCTAACGAGTTTTAATAACGTAAATCGTTTAGTATTTTCCGAAATTAAGAAAACTGTTTTATTTTTTGTTGTTACTATATTTTGAAATGAGGTCGATTGTTAAATTTTTTTTCTTTTTGTTAATTAAGGAATAAATGAATTGGTGTATTAGTGAATTTAGCAAATTGGTGAATCAGTCATAAAAGAAACTGTGATTGCCCAAATTTGTCGATTCATTCAAAAAGGAAACTAAAATTAATGTCATTCATTACTCAGAATTTTTATTTTTATTTACTTCAAAAAACTCTGAGTTTTTGCTTTCTAACGCAATTAAGTTTAAAAGATGATAACATTGTAATAAACTATGAAATGTAACTTTCATTGTTTCAATTCTAAGCATTTTAATAAGATTCGGTACATCAAAGACTAAAACGAAAATTATGAGAATATAATTTAAACTTTGCGAAAATGCAAATGAGTTATTGAAGAAAAACAATAGACTAGGGAAATTACTTGAAAAAATATAAATGCCGTATTTTAAATTAATTGAGTGACAAAATGACGTTAGTGAGTTGACTCTAGATAAAATCAAAAAGAACAATGGCGAAGGCTACGAATGAATATAATTAACTTTCAAATTTGTGTTATTATTTAATGACCATATGCATTACTTTCCCTTCATTTATAGGGTAAATTAAATTATTGTTGCGTTTATTTCTAAAAACCTTCATTAAATTCTTTTAATTTTTTTCTCTTAAATCTTTTAAATTTTCTTTTAAATTCTTTAACACCCACATATAGCATTAAAAATAGGGTTTAAACTTAACCGAAAAAAAATTTGCGGTTAAAATATGTACGCATTTTTTTAGATGTGTAATAAGGAGAGCTATATTTTAGTTTTTAAGTCTCTCTAAACGTAATTATGATTCTCACTTTATATCGTCTCCTAAAAAT